CCAGTGTCATTTCCTGATTTCCACCAGGGGCTGGAGATGAAGAACAAGGCCTGGAAAGGTCTTGTTCCAGAGAATCTTCTTCCAGAGAAGATTCCAGAGGGATTTATGGGCAGAGTTTCTCTACCTTGAACCAGGAAAACTTCAGTTTTCAGGAACAGGAAGCGGATCCGAAGAGAAATTTTGCCTGTTTTGGTTCCCTTTTATTGCTCATCTGCAGGACCAAACTCCCAAACTCTGGAATGTTTTCTGGGATCCTGACATTCCAATTTTAGTGGTGCAGTTTTGCCAGGATGTGTTTTCCTATCTGGGTTTAGATTTACAGAACTTCTGCTTTTAGAGAATGACCCCTCCAGTGTCATTCCCTGATTTCCACCAGGGGCTGGAGATGAAGAACAAGACCTGGAAAGGTCTTGTTCCAGAGAATCTTCTTCCAGAGAAGATTCCAGAGGGATTCATGGGCAGGGTTTTCTCTGCCTTGAACTAGGAAAACTTCAGATTTAAGGAATGGGAAGCGGATCCAAAGGGAAGTTTTGCCTGTTTTGGTTTTGGTTCCCTTTTATTGCTCATTTGTAGGACTGAACTCCCAAACTCTGGAATGTTTTCCGGGATCCTGACATCCCAATTTTAGTGGTGCAGTTTTGCCAGGATGTGTTTTCCTTTCTAAGTTTAGATTTGCAGAACCCCTGCTTTAGAGATAGGTCAAAAATGAAATTAAAGTGAGGAAAAACCAAGGATATCATGAGCTGGGACTCCTCTTCCACATGTTGGATAAAATCCATAGGGATGAAGAAAGGTTGGGAGCTCACCAGGGAAGACATAAAATGAATATTTGGTGAGAAACAGCTTTAAAAATGAGATATAAAAGAAAAAACATAAGAGACAGTGACTGAAAACTCCCCAAAAAGGGCTTTGGGGGCCCAAAATATGCATTTTTTTTCATTACTAAAACAGTTTTCAGTGGTAAAAGTCCGACCTTTAGTTCTCAACACCTTCTTTTATCTTCTCTTAAATTGTCTGAGATGGAATTTTAAAATGGGAGAGCACACAAAGTCCAAAGGAACTTTTCTTGCTGGAAAAAGTACAATTTTTTTCAGGGTAGAAATGATGAAACACCCTGAATTAAGGGAATATATTTTTACTTTCCCAATCCTTACTATATAGATTATTTTTACTTTCTCAATCCTTAGGATATGGATTTATCTGAGCATTAATCATGGATTTAAAGGAACATTTCCACCCATTTGCTGGCAGAGACAAGTCCTGTAAATAATTACTAAAATATCTCCTCTCTGGGGAGAGAAAAACAACATTTTCAATCCTCACACAAAACCAACCCCCAATCCTTTATTTTTAGTCTTTTCTGAGCCCATTCCCTTGGATTCATTTGCCCCATAAATTTGCATCAAAAATAGCATCAGAATAGCTAATAAATGTTATTTTTTACCCTTTTTTTTTTAATATTAATTGTCAGTGAATTGTCAAAGAGCTAAAAATCAGATGTTTAGGTGTGGGTTAAAGAGCCAGCTTGGTTCTCCTGTATCCAAAAACTCCCAAATCAGGTTTTCCCACACAAGGGTTGAAACTCCACCACCTCCAGGCTCGTTCAGAGGATGGGAAAAGCAGATTTCCAGCTGACCAGCACCAGGATTTGGTTTCCCTGTGTAGGAGAAGCACATGGAATGAGGTTTATTTTTTACAAGGGAGCCTGAAGTGACGTTATCCTCAGCTGGAATAGCTCCAGAGTCCTGCCATCCCAAAATTCCATGGCAAGAGGGGAGGAATCTCGGGAACGTGTGAGCCCACGGGAGCTCTTGAAGTTCAAACCTGGGGAAAAAAAAAAGAAGCTGAATTTTAAAAAAATAAATTAAAATTATTCAGGTTTGTCTGGTTTTTTTTCCAATCCTTGCACCCTGTCAGGATGTGATGAGTCCAGAGGAGGCCACAGGGATACTCCAAGGTTGGAGCCAGGCTGGGAGAGCTGGGTGGGTTCACCTGGAGAAAAGAAGGATGGGATGTTTTCATTAGTATTAAGAAGCAGCTGCCCTTAATTATCTTAAATGTGAAATAAATTTGACTATTCTAAGAACTCTTAATCATCCTCAACGTGAAACAAAGTGATTTGACAATTCTAGAGACTATTCTAAAATTACAACATCCATTTTTAAGAGCGAGACATTTCTGACACCTGAGGTAACATTAATAGAATTAGTAGAAATAGAATTAATAGAAATAGAAGCAATAGGAAAAGATTAAACACAAAAAATAAACAAGACATTGCAAGATGAGAAAAAAAAATTCCTCCAAATATTTCATCGAACTTTTTACCTTGGGTTTTGTTTTGTTGTTTTGGTTTTTTTTCCAAATATTTGCTTTTATTCCCTGATTAAAGATAAACAACAAGACCCTTGAGAAGAAAAACGTTTTCTGTGAAAAGAACGACGTGGGTTTCCATGAATCTCCTGGATTCTCGAGAACTCCTGGAAGGTCATTCCCAAGCAGCCACTTTTGGAACACACATCTCACCTCTGATTTTTCTCTCCTCCAGAGCTGTGCTGCAACATCACAGGAGCGTTGGCCACAAATTCCTTTTTTCCCTCCACCACAAGCGAGTTTCGAGTTTTATGGTTGCCATAAAAGCTCTTTATGTGGCTTTTCCTGAAGACATTTAGAGCTCATGAGCTGCTGCAAAACAAGCCTGTCCTCAATGTCCAATCCCAACATTCATTCCAGAGTGCTGGTGGTCCTTTTCCTGCCCCAGAGGGCTCAGAAATCCAGAGGCAATTGCCTCTTTTATGGATTTGTTTAGTGGATAAGGGGAAGGGAGGCATGGCCTGGTTTGTTTGGGCAACCTAGACCTGAAGTGCAGCTCCATGTGAGTCTTCAGGCATCACACAGAGAATTCCCAACACTTTGGCCAAACACAGGGGCTCTTTTTGTGGAAAAGATGGGATCTGATCAGTCCAAAGGCTACTGGGAGCTGAGGGGTGAACATCCACCAGGAGAAGTGTCTTTGGTGCACACAGGGAGGGTTTTGAGCAGTAAGAAATCAGTCTCCTTCTGGTCATGGATGGTTGGAGAAGACTCCTGGTCACACTTGTGTTTTAGCTCCTGCACCAAAAAAATCCAAGCTCTGTCCACTTTGTTGAAGAGACTAAAAGAGGTCTGGGATCTTTGGTGCTCCATAAACAAAGCAGGAAGAAACTGGAAGTTGAAAGGAGATGAACCAGTAGAAAATATGCTGGTGGGACCTTTGGGAAAGCTGTGGGATCAATGTTCTTAGGGATTGATCCACAAAAAGGGTCTCAGTGCTGGTAGTTGAGGGATGTGACCAGTGCAGAGAGGAGACAAAGCTGCTGGGAGCCAAGGGGTGAATATCCACCAGGAGAGATGTCTTTGGTGCACAAAGGAAGGGTTTTGAGCAGTAAGAAATCAGTCTCCTTCTGGTCATGGATGGTTGGAGAAGACTCCTGGACACACTTGTGTTTTACCTCCTGCTCCAAAAAAATCCAGGCTCTGATCTACTTCCTTTAGTTGATGAGATTAAAAGAGTCTGGTGTCACTTTTGGACATCCAGAAACACAGCAGGAAGAAACCGGAAGTTGAAAGGAGATGAAACAGTAGAAAATATCGTGGTGGGACCTTTGGGAAAGCTGTGGGATCAATGTTCTTAGGGATTGATCCACAAAAAGGGTCTCTGTCTCAGCACTGGTAGTTGAGGGAGTGACTTAATTGGTATGGAATAATTACATCAATTTCTGGACTGGATCCTCAGGATCCATTCAGTTTGACCTTCAAAAGCATAAGGGAATCATGGAGAAGGAGATGGTCCTCCTGCACTATCCTTACCCTTTCCAGAGGAACAAATGCACCTCTCCAGGCCCTTCACTGCTGGGCAGACTGAGATGCCCAGATAATTTTTGTGTACAAAATGCAAATGAAATATTTTGGATTGGGATCCGAGAGATGATTTTATTCGACTTTATCTCTCTCATTTATCAAAAAAAAAAAAAAAAAAAAAAAAAAAGTCAGGAAACCACCAACAAAATTGAAAAAATCTAAAGTAGTAGCAGTGAATGTCTGTAAGATCTTGTCCAATTCCTCCTTCTCTCCCTGTCTTTTTTCCAATAGTGCAGCCCTGGTGTCCTGACCTGGAAGGGCTGGAAGATTTCATATCATCCCATTCCCACAGATTGAAGAAAAATTGCCTTCAAGTCCTTTTTGAAAGCCAAGGGAAGGGGAGGCAGGGGAGGCAAAGGGAGGATTTCTCACTTCCTGGCAAGGGCTGTGGTGGAACCCCCAGGTTGGCCAGAGCCTGGAGACAGATCAGACGGTGCCTTTTGTGAATAGAACACGTCAAAAGACAAGAGAGCCCATCCCACAGTCGGGTTCCCAACCCGTGTCATCAATTAACTCATTAAAAAGTGAATTTGGGAGCAGCGTGAGACGTGAAATGAAAAGCTTTGCAAACGAGGCCTCCCCACCGAGCCTTTCAGGAGTTTGTGGGAGGTCCTTCTGCCTCTGGCCTGCTTTCCCACCGCCTCCTGTCACTTCCTGCACCAACTCCAGCCCCTCAGAATCCCAAAGAAAGTCCCTTTTCTCCGTCACTTCCGAGGTTTCATTGTGCTTTTGCTCCCGGCCACAGGCAAGGCTCCAGTTCCCCTCTGGGACTGTCCTGCTCCATCTTCATGTCCTGGGCTCCAAGCCAGGTGCCTCTCCCCCCTCTCTGCTTCTTCTCTGTTTTCCAGAAGCTTTTCCCAATGCAACCAGCTCAGGTGTTTTCAGGAAGGAATTTCTTCCTGTTCCCATAAGCCAGGAAAATGTGTTTGTTGTTTTTTTTTCCTTTAACCGTATATCATATAACTAAACTCTTCCACCTTCCCCCAAAAAATCCCTTCTCACTCTCCCTTTCTTCCCTGTTACACAGTCAGGTGCCGTATGAAGAACAATTCCATGGAATTTTAGGATGGTTTGGATTGGAAGGTGAGGTCATCTCATTCCACCCCCTTCCACACCTTCCACTTTCCACTATCCCTCATTGATCCAACCATCCAACCTGGCCTTGGATACTTCCAGGGATGGGGAATCCACAGCTTCTCCAGGAAACCTGTACCAAGAACTCCCCACTATCACAGGGAAGAATTTCTTCCCTCTCCCAGAAGGTTCTGCCTGGCACAGCCAGGAAAAGGTGGATTTTTCCTTTCTGACCAACACTCTCCACATAAAATGTGCTTTAACTGCATAACAAACTATACCATTATCTGACACAGAAATGCAATTAACTCTTCCTCCTTCCCACAAAAAATCCCTTCTCACTCTCTCCTTCTTCCCAGCAGTCAGCTGCCATATCCCTGGCTGGTATGAAGAACAATTCCATGGAATCTAAGAATAGTTTGGATTGGAAGGTGAGGTTGTCTTATGTGCAGGGACACCTTCCACTATCCCACGTTACTCCAACCATCCAACCTGGCCTTGGACACTTCCAGGAAAGGGGAATCCACAGCTTCTCTTGGAAACCCGTGCCAGGGCCTCCCCACCCTCACAGGGAAGAATTTCTTCCTTCTCCTATAAGATTCTGCCTGGCACAGCCAGGAAAAGGTGGATTTTTCCTTTCTGACCATCAACACTCTCCACATAAAATGCGCTTTAACTGCATAACAAACTATACCATTATCTGACACAGAAATGCAATTAACTCTTCCCCCTTCCCACAAAAAATCCCTTCTCGCTCTCTCCTTCTTCCCAGCAGTCAGTTGCCATATCCCTGACTGGTATGACGAACAATTCCATGGAATCTAAGAATAGTTTGGATTGGAAAGTGAGGTGGTCTCATTGCACCCCCTGCCATGGGCAGGGTCACCTTCCACTTTCCACTATTCCAGGTTGCTTCAACCATCCAAACTGGCCTTGGACACTTCCAAGGATAGAGAATCCACTGTTTCTCTGGGAAACCTGTGCCAGGGTCTCACTACCTTTGATAAAAAGTCTTTGTCTTTCTCATGTGGCCTTTTTATATTGAAAGGCCCCAACAAGCTCTCCCTGGATCCTTCTCTTCTCCAGGCTGAACAATTCCTAACCCCACCTAAAAGCATCATCCAGAGGGATGTTCCAAGGGAAAATATTCCACCCCCATGGCAGGGTGAAAGCGGGCAAGAGAAGTACCACGGATAGAGAAAAGGAAACGGGTGAAAGAAACTGCCAAGTTAATTATCAAGGGGATAATTACCAAGTTAATTATCAATTATCAAGGGGAAACCCAACCTCTCCTGGTCTCACTTGCTCCTCACATTTTCAAGGAAGCAGTGGTAGCCTGGCTGGCAGAAGGATTTCTCCTTTGGAGCACACACTGACAATCCAACAGTAATTAATAATCCCAGAGTGGCATCCCTGGCACACACGGGGCAGGACTGGGAGCTGTTTATGTCTCTTGGCTTGATTATGCCTCACTTGATGCCAAATCTTTGCCAGTGACTAACTCAGGCACTTGAACGAGCCTGGAGCTATTTTTTTTCTGCCAGAATTTCCTATTTGGAATGGCACCTTTGGAGCTGCTTCTGGGGTGTCTTCCAAACATTCCTGCTGCTAAAGAAAAACTCCCTGTGCTGAGCTTTCTCCCTTTATAACCATCCCAAAACTTTCCATATGTCCAGTGTGGAATATGGATACTCTGTGGAGAGCAGAGGGTGGATCTTGTCAGGCACTAAACACTGAGAAATGTAGGAAAAGGAGCCGAAAATTCCACATGGCAGGAAGTGGGGAGGAGCAGGAAGGGCTGTTGTATCCATGTGGGATACAGACCTGGCTGAGGAGACGCGGGAGTTTGTAGGATTTCGCTGTAACTGCCCGACAATCTGCATTTGGAGTTCTTTACATCGACTCAAATCCAACCTGCTTGGAATAAAATCCATCCCATCGCTCCTTCCATGACCCTGGGTGTTCATCCCAGGATGTACCTGCTGCTCACATTCCCTCTTGGACAGCTCTGCCATGGGGAATCAGGGCATCCACGTGCTGAAAATTACCTTCCTGTTTTTTTGGACAGAGTTACTTTTCACTTGGATCCGTTCCCTTCCCTGACTCGGCGTCCGTGCAATGATCTCAACCCTAAATAAAGAACGGGGCAGGACTGGGAAGGAAGAAACAGTAGGGATAAATCTGGGAATAGTATGGCAATACCACCCTAAACTGAATAAAATTAAGGATTTACAGGGATCATCCACCACTGTTTTACTTTTTTTTTTGATTAAACCAGTTCTGCATAAAGATGGAGCAAACGTGTCCAAGGAAATGGGCTCAGAAAACACTAAAAATAAAGGATGAGGGTTCTTTTTATGGGTGAACTGAAAATGCTATTTTTCTTTTCTTAGAAAGGAGATATTTTAGTAATTATTTACAGGGCTTGTCCCTGCCAGCAAATAGGTGGAAATGTTCTTTTAAATCCATGATTAATGCTCAGATAAATATGATAAGGATTGGGAAAAGCGAGGAAAGATTTGCAGGTCGCACTCAGGGAGAAGTTATGAACTCTTGCATAATAATTAGGCTCAGGAATTAAATGGAATTAAATTAAATCAACGTTAAATAAAGTCAAACTGCCTGGTTGGCAGTGCCAAGGTGCCCATGGGGACTGATGGATCCTCCTCCCACATTTTGCCCCCCTGATGATTTTCTCAGAGTCGGTCACTGGGTTCACTGAACTTGAAGCCTCTCCCCTTTCCATGGAGCATGCCCATGGAGCAGGTCCATGGAGCAGGTCCATGGAGCAGGTATTTCTTCCTGGCACGGTCACAGGATTGTTCCTTTGCCAATGACTCAGTGCTGGCAGCACTGGGAAGGCACTTCCTGGAAAAACAACGTTGCACGTGGAGAACTGTGCGAGTTGGGCAGGGAAAGCTCGGCTGCCTTGGCAGCAGGGACAGGGAGAAGAGGCTGGAAAAGGGAAGAGAGGGGCAGGTGCCAGATTTTAGCTCCAGATATCCCCGAGTTGGGCCTTGGTGGAGAAAAAGGAAAATAAAGCCCCCCGAACTTCTGTTCTCCAGCTGTCGAAAGGTGAGTGTGGGATAAAGAGAGGGGGACATGAGGAGGAGGGAGGAGGAAGGAAAAGATTGGGAGTGGGATTGCTCCCGGCCACAGGCAAGGCTCCAGCTCCCCTCTGGGACTGTCCCGCTCCATCCTCATGCCCTGGGCTCCAAGCCAGGTGCCTCTCTCCCCTCTCTGCTTGTTCCCAGTTTTCCAGAAGCTTTTCCCAATGCAACCAGCTCAGGTGTTTTCAGGAAGGAATTTCTTCCTGTTCCCATAAGGTTCTGCCTGGCACAACCAGGAAAAGGTGGATTTTTTTCCTTTGGCCATATATCATATAACTAAACTCTTCCACCTTCCCACAAAAAATCCCTTCTCATTCTCCCTTTCTTCCCTGTTACACAATCAGGTGCCACATGAAGAACAAATCCATGGAAAAAAGAGCAAGAAGGTCAGTTGGCATCCCATCTGGATATGGGTCTGGAAGTGCCAGGGATATATGCCATATTTATGGAGGCTTGGGGTAGAAGGTGTGTGTTGAAGTCAGTCCCTCCCCAGCTGAGCAACTGGGAAAAAAATCAGTTAAAAATCCCTTAACAAACACAAGGGTTCCATTAACCACACGTGGAACTCCCCTTCAGCATTCCCAAATTCCTCGGGAATGTTTTATTTTATAGCTGCCGATATCAGCGCCCCTTCTCAACCACAAAGGTGAAGTTTTCTGCAAAATTTACACTAAAATGTAAATATTTAAATATCTGCACACAGCACTCCTCCACCTGGCGAACTCCTAATGGAAAACTTGATTGCTGAAGAAACAGGATTTACCTTTTATCCTGTTTCTGGAAAGCTGGAGACTCACGGATGGGAGGGTAGCAGAGCTTTCACTGGTGCTCAGCAAGGGAGTTGTTTGAGTTTGTCCCGGGCCAACAGGGCTTTCCTCGGCTCTTCCTTGGCCAGAGAATTCCTGTGGAAGCAAATCCGGATTCTCCATGGAGGGATCACCGTGCAGTGGTGCCAAAGGAGCCATTCCTGCCCCAAGTGACCTCTGGAATGGGCTCCCACACGGCCAAATTCCCTAGGGCCCTCTTATCATGGGATAAAAAAAGCCTTTGGATTCTTGCCCGTGGTTTCCGTGGATCCAGCTCCTTGGCTGGGAATCCATTCCTGGGGGAAGTTGCCTTGAGCTGATCATGGAATCCCATTCCTGGGGGATAATCCCTGTGCTCACACAGAGTAATGGGAACTTTTCTTAATTAATTAGCTCTCCAAGAGCATCTGAGCACCCTCCCCAAGCATGGAATGCTGGGATTCCTGGGATTCCTGTGGGCCCTCACTTTGTGCGTTCACACAAAGTCATTTCGTAGTTATATTTGTATTTATATTTGTATTTATATTTGAATTTATATTTCTATCCAAACAAAGCTGTTTTAGGGAAATATTTTAAGGAAAATGTAAGTATTTGATTTGTTACATTTAAATCGGGAGGGCAAAAGAGGCAAACCCAACCTTTTCCCAATTTTTAAATGGTGACGGTTCTGATTTGGGGGTTTGGGGTTTTTTTTGTCCTTTCTTTCCTTTGTTTTGTTTTGGTTTATTTTTTTTTTTTAGTGAGGTTTTTTGTTTGGTTTATTTTGATTTTATATATTTTTTACTCTTTTTCTTTCTTCCTTTCTTTTCTTTCTTTGTTCTTTTTTCCTTTTGTCTTTTTCTTTTTTCCTTTTCTTTCTTTTTTCCTATTTCTTTTTTCTTTTTCTTTTTTCTGTTTTTCTTTTTTCTTATTTCCTTTTTTCTTTTTCTCTTTTATTTTTCCTTTTTCTTTTATTTTTCCTAATTTCCTTTTCTCCTTTTCTCTTTTTCTTTTTCCTTTTTTCCTTTTTCTTTTCTTTTTCTTTTTCCTATTTTCTTTTTTCTTTTTCTTTTGTTTTTTACTATTTTCTTTTTCTCCTTTTTTATTTTTTCTTTTTCTATTTCCTTTTTCTTTTCTTTTTTCTTTTTTCTCTTCTTTTTTCTTTTTCCCTTTTTCTTTTATTTTTCCTTTTTCTTTAATTTTTCCTTTTTCTTTCATTTTTCCTATTTTCTTTTTCCTCTTTTTT